TCCATCCCTCCCAAGTCTATTCTTAAAGTTTTATTTGATTAAATATGTGCAACAGACTACTTGTCAACCAAAATATAATTTGTCTGTCCTTAAACTGATTCTGTCAGATTTAGCTCTTGGGTCTCATTAAGCTCTCTAAAACACAAAATATGTGCTTTTGACTTGTCCTGTAGAAAGGTGAGAAGATAGCATGGCAATATAGCTCAGTCTTCCTTCTTTTTCTCTTTCCCACTCCCTGTATTGATTTCCAGATCAGAGACGTCTCTTCACATTCTGTATTCCTCACAGCTTTTTTTTCTTCCCCTTTCCAAGCCCAACAGTATTATTCCATGACTATATGGCAGATGATACCCCTTACACATGACCAGCAATTCTTGCATACAGCAGTGTTTCACAGTAACTTGTAAATGATAAACTACAGGGAACAACTTCTTCCTAGGTAGTGCAGCGTGTACATTTCAGAAGGCAGCCAGTTTCTTTAATGAGACATAAACCCATGTTAGGGTATCTGCAACCAGCACTACAGTTTGTAACTCTAGATTCAGACTATGAAACATTAAACTTTTAAACACTCTTGCCACAGAACAGATGAGATACAGTTTAATATTGCTGTTTCCTTGAAGTTCTGTCTAAAATAAGAGTATTAGTGAAGATGGAAAATATGTATGTTGTTGAGAGATGGATCAGCAATGTCGTGTGTAGGTACATCTGCAGTGCAGCTCATTACACCAGCTCTGGAACACATGTAGCATGTAAAGCAGATGAGTCTTTCAAACTCTGTCCCAAACCAGTGGCATGCTCAGTTACACAAAGCAGCTCTAATTAGAAAACATCAGCTTCTCTGCTGCTTCTAACAACTCCATCAGAAAGGCTTGTTACATAGCTAATATACCGCTTTTTCTCCCCTACCTCACGAGTTTCTCATTGTAGTAATTGCAGAGTAACTTCCAGATGGTTACAGTAGTTACCTGTAGCTTGACTACTGCTGAAGCCTGAAGTTGATAATTTCAAGTTGTTTTGTCTTTGTCAGTGCTATGCTACTTGCTTTTCAGCAGTGACTTGGACCACTCTCTACTTCTGATACAGTTCATAACTCGCACACTAGGAACTCACAGGATGGCAGCACACTATGTGGTTGTCTGGAAAGTTTCTTTTAATTCTTTGAAGTCTAGAAAGGGGTAGGTGCTGCCATCCAAAGTTCTTCTTACCCAAGTTTGGGAAAATATCGCTGAATGCATTGAGGTAATACCTATGTTAGGTAGATGAGTTGCTTCTTGAAAGGGTGTCAAGGTTCTTTCTTTGCCCACAGGAGCCTCCTATAGGAAGTCCATAGCTGTGTTTAGACCAAGCTGGGCTGACTTCAGATGTGAATGTTTTGCATTAAGAATTACTTCTGTGACTCCAAGGGGAGCATCTGAAGTGCCCTTCCACTACACTTAGACTTTAATGTGAGACTCCAATGCAGGAGTCTGGTCAGCCAGGAAGCAACAGCTTGTGAGTGGTGGTTCATTTGCCTACAGCTGAGAGAATCTGCTCCCCTTTTCCACCTGCCAAGCCCCACACATCTACATTGTGTTCTCCTCTATTTGGGGAGCCCCAGTGAGCAGAAAGACACCCGTGTTCTTACATTGGTGATACAGAGAGTTTCACTGGTGGTTGATCACATGCTAGAGCAAGTCACACAGAAGTTACGAGTTTTGGTGGTACTGAAGTATGTTCAGATGTTTCAAATAGCAAGAGTAGATGATTCACAATCTCTTCTGATGGACCTATGAAAAGCAGAATGTAAGAATAAACGAGTTATGCATTTCTGTCTTGTACCACTGAATCTACAAGGCAATGTGTTGGATATCCAAGCTACCATTTCTCTTTGCTGAGTTATTTGTAACACTTATCTTTGTTTCTTGTGGTACTTCAGGATCAAACATCAGTATATGCAGTAAGAGTGATCATACACTTTTGTTGTATTTAACAAAGGTGGATGCACACTGTGCCTTATCTATTGCCCGTCTCAGTTGGATGGTGCTCTAGGAGGAATGTGATGGAGAAGTTCTAAAGCACTTTTTTGTTTTCAAGTCTGTAGAAATATTTCTCGAACTATTCCTGAATTTTACTGGGAAATGGTTATGAAATTTCTTTTTAGAAAAAAGCAGCTTGTGTTTGTGAATATATTGCTGCAGTGAGAAAGAAGAAAGCAGAAGTAAACCTGATTCATCCTTTCTCATTCTCCTAGTAATAAAACTGCATAAAAATGGTGATAAATTAGATATGTTTTTAAAATCCTATCCTTTTATGTTCCCTGAGAATATTAAAATAACATTGGTAAATTTTTAATGTTTGGGAAATATTAATGCATTATTTTAACCTGACAGGTTCTGGCTTTTATGAACAAATGTCACACCAAACTTTATACTGAGGCGTTAGCGAGTTGTAAATGTGCCTTTGACATTAAAAGGAATTGTAAGTATTTAATTAAAAGTTTCCAAAGGACAGTTTTCCCCAAATGTTCACTGTCCTATGTAGACAGTTCATCTTCCTCATATATTACTATTTCAAGTTTATACTAGTAGTGCAAATCATGCTTATGACTTGAGTGAAAAATTAATTTATTACGGTAAGGCGGATGAATTTTGTGAGCTAGCTTGTCACTACCCAGTGAGTTCCCATCTGTCCTGTTCATGGCACAGGGCCATTCATTTCTCCCTGTGCAGTACAGAACTCTCAGGATATTCATTTTATCAGGAAGTCCCAGTTTTAACACAGGATAAATAATAGGCAAATCACATTTTTTTAACTTTTTTTTTTTTCACTTCATTGGAGGGCAAGAAGATGGAATTATGTCATTAGTGCAACACTCTGTGTGTTGTGAGTTATGGGTAAAGAAACCAGTTGTCCTCAGCTCAGTTTTGTGGTTGCTCAGGGAAGGTCAGAGGTGATGAGTTGCTCAAGAACCACATGCACCTCTGCAGCAAAATCGTGAGACTCCCTTGGCAAGGATGGTAACACATGCAGGGCTGTTCTGGGGTCAGACTGCTGGATAGTCTGGGCCTGTCCTGTCCGAGGAAACAGGTCATCTCTGGCTCTTCTCAGGAGCCCAGACACGTGGCCAGCCCAGCATTGGTCAGCAGCAGTGCCGTGGGGGAGCTGTTGTCATCTCCTTCTGCCTGCGAACTCCCGCTGGAGCTCGGTTTCCTTTGGGTTTTCTGAGAGATGTGGTGTGTGTCTTGTGGTTTGTAGAGTCAGGAGGGTTGGAGACTCGTGACTGCAATTACTTGGCTTAAGTATTAATTTCTGAAGGACACAAGGCCGTCTGCCTCCCTAAGGTGCTTAGTCATAGCTAGGACCAGCCAGACAGGCAAGGCTTGCCTCTCTGCCAGTCCTGGTGATCTTGAATTAAACAACAGTTGACCAGATTACAATATGTGTAACACTATTTTTTTTTATCTTAGCTGTACCTTGATTTCTTCTTTCTGGGAGCTAAGCAAATGTCTGCTGGGGCCTAGGTTTTACTCGTAAGTGACCTTGAATAGAACAAGTTTGAGTTTAAAAGGCATTTGCCTCAGTTATATAGACCAGTGTATTAGTTGCTTACCACTTTGCTATTTAGTAGGTACCTGTCCAGTTTGAAAAGGCCTTGTTTCTAGATATGACAGATGTGTTCCAGTTTGTATAAGACACAAGCTTGGAGCAGGAGTGTTTCTCTTGCATTAAATTTATGCTCGCAGCAGTACCTGTATTGCAGCTATCTTTAGAAACGGTCTTGCTGGATAATATCTGTGCCCTCAGTGAAATCTAGAAAACAGCAGTACTGAGGAGGTATTCCATTATTTAAAAGGTGAATGTTAAGGTTCACTGTTGCTGCTCTATACATTACACAAACTGCAGACACAACACATTTGTGCTAAATTAAATAATAAAAGTGAGGTAGACGTGGTATTGCTGAGCTTATCCTGCTGACATTCAGTAGCAATAAGTTGCCTCCCCAAAAAATCCCTTCCCTTCAAATTTTCCTAAGAGTTTCAATTGAATTTCTTTTCTTCTTCTTTTTCCCGTGAGAGACCCAAGCGCTTGAGAACTGCTTTGTAACATCCCATCCCAGTTTATAAATAATGAAATTGCCCCAAGTTAGGAATGCCCTGTGACAAATATTCAAGCATTTCTCTGCCTTAGGGTGCTAGCTCTGACAAGAGTTAGGTGGTGGTTTAGTGGATGAACTGTCAACCTTAATCCTCATATTTACAATTTATAAAGCGAATTTATTTAGTGAAGTACTTTTTGTTTGCTTAAAACCTTTGAAAGCCTGCAAGTATTGTCACGCTTACTCCAATTTAAGCCACTGTCCTATTCTACACTTTACTGACCTTATTTTCATTGCAATGTTTATTTTTGCTTATATTGTAGAAGTAATCATTCTGCAGTAATTCACCCATCTAACACGTTATTTATTAATGGTGTTAGAGAATTTCTGTGCAAAGTGCATTGCAAAGGAGACCACCTCAGTATCTAAAACAGTGCAGTAAAGATATTTCTCCATGACAAGTTCAGAAGTGACCTGTGTCTGCCTGTGTGGCTGTTCTGAAGTTTTGCATAACTCATTTCTAATTCCTAAGTGCCAGTGATCTTTGAATTGCAATTTAGATGTCTGGTCAGCAGAAATATTTCTTGATCAGTGACAGCCTGTGAATAACTAGTGTAAAAGGAGAGAATGGCAAGCCCTGCCTCTCTTAGTGCTCTGTTCATATGTGCAGGGATCATCTTTTGGCGTAGAGGGGCAGTGCTTGCTAGGTATGTGGATTTGTGCTTCCATGCTTTTGTGGTGGAATGTGTAGCTTCTATCAAGCCTCTGCACAAACAACACGTATTCTGACATCTGTGTGTTAGCGCATTTTTCAAAGTGTAGAGTGGAGGAGCTTTAAGCTGGAGCAATGAAAATAGGTGAAGTGGCAGCGGAAGGCATGTTTGTTGTGTTTTAACTGGATATTTTCTTGTTGCCTTTCTAGGTCTGATGTAGTTGTTCTGTGCTTTTCAATTGCTAATCCTAATTCCCTGAATCATGTGAAAACGATGTGGTATCAAGAAATCAAGCACTTCTGTCCTCGCACACCTGTCATTCTGGTAGGCTGCCAACTAGATCTCCGCTATGCAGATCTTGAAGCTGTTAACAGAGCCAGACGGCCTTTGGCAAGGTAAAGGTTAATCAAAAATAAGGATTAAAAAAAATCACCTTTCAAAGGAGAAACGATAGAGCCTAGTTCCTTTTTTTGTGAAATAAGAGCATCTGTGCTTTCTTCTTTTTAATCCTGTTGTCTGAGTTTGTTAGTTCTTTAACACACACAGTTATTATATGTTTCCCACAATATTTTTGCACATTGGACATCTAAACTTGTTTGGGTGCCTGAACACTACAATAATATAGAGATAATAATGATTACTGGAGGTTTTCATAGATGTCTCACGTGTATCATGTCCTACCCTGTCTCTACTGTCAGGTACTGTTTTAAACTGACTCATTCTACTCAAGTTTTCTTAATTCTCAATTATTATTTTTTTTTGTAAATGTAGTCTTAGATCATGGCAGAAAATGACATAGTTGCAATTTAATTTTTTTAACTCTCTGAGATTAAAAGAGGATTTGGGGTCCTTCTGGAGAAGCTTTGTTTTTTCCAGATTCAAAAGACAAGCGTTTACAGGTTTGGGCAAAACAGTCCCACAATTATCTGCTCACTTCTGTTTTCCTCCTTTTATGTGAATTAGAATGAGACCAGATTCATGGAAATAATATCCATGATTGTGTAACTAAAGACTGTATTGTAAGAAGTTTCTGTAAAGGTATTGAATTAATATTTCTTGGGCTCTTAAAAAACTTTTCATTGCATTCAAATTCTTGGCACAGCAATATCATTTTCATAGGTTGGATTGTTTATTAAACATTTCTTCATTGTGTGGGTGGGGTGGGCTTTTTGGTTGACTCTTAAAAGGAAACGATTTTTCAAAACTCAAAATTCTTCTTCTGCCCTAATCCTCCCTTCGGATTTCACTATTAATAAAGTTTGAATCAGTACTCTGCATGTCTAGCACGGACTGCTGCCACCTGAACTGGTTATTAGCTGGCAGCTAAAACAAGCCGTTGTCTGGAGCCTGTTAAGTCTGTGCCAGCTTGTGTCTGCCCAATATGGTATGCTCAGAGAACACACTGTCGGGTCATGTCTTCTGGTGAGATGATTTTTTGTTGGGAAAATGGATCCTCACCCAGGCTTTTTTCTGGTTTGTTTACCCTATGTCGTGTACTAGAGCATCTCTGGAGATTCAGGAGTTCCCACGTAATAATTCTACAGCCACAAGAGGCCTGTCTCTTGAAGTGTGTGTTCAGTTACACTTTTGTTGTAGGCTACTATGATTTTCTTTAAAAAGCATAAGCCTAAGAAATATTTCTCATTTCATATATAGCTATATTTGTGGAATTTCTATGTCATAAGAATTTCCACTGGAGTTTAAATGATGGATACAAAGAAAGATACTGACAGAATATCTGAGTAGAAAGGAATGTTAGGAGGGTTTTTAAATAATGAAAGTTCTCAAGCATCTTGTAATTTTTTTTACCGTAAATTTCCCTTTAGCAGAGAGAAGTCTTGCTCCATTTTGTGCAAATGATTTCTACATATTTTTAGTAACGTTGCAAACACACTGCCAAACTTCAACAGAATTACAAGCATGTGCTATTCAAAAACTCTCTGGAATCATGGTTGTAGATTTCCAAAGGGCTTTGTGGGCTTAATTTTATATTTTGTTTCATTTGAATGATAGTTATCTCAGAATTGGTGCTGAGACATTCTGCAAAATACCGTGCTTTCTGGAGTAACTCTGTGATGATTGTTGTGTGTGAGAAGGTTTATTTTTTGTTTAACCCTAGGCCGATAAGAAGAGGAGACATTTTGCCACCAGAAAGAGGCAGAGAGGTTGCCAAGGAACTTGGGATACCGTACTATGAAACCAGTGTATTTGACCAGTTTGGGATTAAAGATGTGTTTGACAATGCAATTAGAGCTGCCCTGATCTCCAGAAGACACCTACAGTTCTGGAAATCTCATTTGAAGAAGGTCCAAAAACCATTGCTTCAGGCTCCCTTCCTACCTCCAAAAGCCCCTCCTCCGGTTATCAAAATTCCTGAGTGTCCCATACCAAGCATGAATGAAGCTGGATATTTATTGGACAACCCACTGTGTGCAGATGTTATGTTTGTTCTCCAGGAGCAGGACTACATTTTTGCTCACAAGATTTACCTAGCTACCTCCTCTTCAAAGTTTTATGACCTTTTCTTAATGGATTGTGAGGAAAGTCCAGACATGGATGAAGCACAGTGTAATAAAGAAAATACAAATAAGGATGTTCTGACAAGTCACCTTGAGACAAGCGGTGACAGTGATGAGACATCCTTGAAATCTGCTGATGTTAAAATTCCCCCACCAGAAAGTACTGACTCTTTAAACATGCTAGAACCTGAACCTGGTGAAACAAATTCTGCAGCAAGATCTCTGTCCTCCTGGGGCAAGGGGTTTGTTAGTGTGCATAAGGAAATGCAAGTGAATCCTGTCTCGAATAGGACGTGTCCTGTAACTGTGGTAAAAATGGATTCATCTGTGCAGGCTGGACCTTTTAAAACTGTTTTGCAGTTTTTATACACAGGGCAACTGGATGAAAATGAAAAAGATCTCACAAGACTGGCTCAGATTGCTGAAATCTTGGAAGTATTTGATTTGCGAATGATGGTGGAGAATATTATGAATAAAGAAGCCTTCATGAATCAAGAGATTACTAAAGCATTTCATGTCAGAAAAGCTAATCGGATAAAAGAGTGCCTTTGCAAAGGGACATTTTCTGGTAAGCGAATACATGCTTTAACAGAAAAAGCACGAATTCTTTTCTCAGTCATGTTACTGTCACTTCACAGACTTCAAAAACTGTGACAGCTTACGTTGTTCTGAGAGGAGGGATAAGCCCAAAATTATGGTGTTACTCAGGGCCAACTGTTCCAACCTAGGATTCTGCCTCCAAATTTTCTCCAAAATTTCTCCAAATCTACACACAAGCTTTTAGAAAAGTGACCCAATTTTCCAAAGTGTTGAACATCCAACATACTCCTTTTAAGTGAGGCTTTTTATTGAACTATCTAAAACAATAGAGTTTTCTTCAGAGTGGGAGTTGTGGGAAGTGAAAGAAGTCCTTGGTTAACAAAGTGCAAGTGAAACAGACATTCTTGAGACACAGTTTCCCTTTAAATACAGACTTGCAGCATGCCTGTTTCTTTGTTCCCATGGCAGATGTGACATTTAAATTGGATGATGGGGGCATAAATGCCCACAAGCCACTGCTGATCTGTAGCTGTGAATGGATGTCTGCTATGTTTGGAGGATCATTTATTGAAAGCTCAAACAGTGAGGTATTTGTCCATTTTTGTCCGTTTTGCTTATAATGTCTGTGGCTTTAGGGTGATGGAAGCATCATTTTGTATCTATTTGAAGGGTTGCAATGGTCCATGGAATGATTCTTTATTCTTCTCTTGCAGACCTGGGATGCTTTTCTTCTTAAGGCATTAAATCAGGAAGATAACGTATTTTCTGCAAGGCATAAGACTTCTTCCAGTGCTGCAGCATGTGTTTAAACCTGAAATCCTTTAAAATATTAAGTGTGAGGGGGATTTAAATAGGGATTTGTGAATTTCTCTAAAAGAAGTTTTGAAGTTATGTGAATATGTATTTACACAATCAGAAGGATTACAAGGAATACTTGAAGCAGGGGCATTGAGTAAGGAATTAAAGGGAAAACAGGGCTAAGAACACGGAGTGTTAATCTGCAAAAGGGGGCTGGCTTCACAGTACTTCAGTAGAAACTAAGCTCAAATTCTGTAGTGCATCAGCTTGTCCTCTTGAGTAAAGCAGGTATAAAGTACAGTATAAAAGATCTCAATGCTTTGAATTAAGGTTTTGCAGCAGAAGCCTTGTATTTTCAGGTGCCTTCATCATCTGTTTTTCAAATTCTAAACACTCTGCTAATATTTTTTTCTTGTGTCTTATCTATACCCAGGTTTTGATTTTTGTTTTGATTTTCTTGTTCCTGTCCATACTTACAGGTCTTGTTCATATAAAGAGTTGTGGTTTTTTGGTGTTTAATATTCTGGAAGATTGTGCTCTACTTAGATTTTTCTTGCTTCTAATACAGCTGTAAACATAATCCCTTTCCCACAGGCATGCTCGACAAGTGGTTCATTAAAAATACATAGTCTGATTCTAGCAAGCAACATTTGGCAATGAAGAATATCCATTTATTTTCTACCAGCCTATTTTTAATTATTCACTTAACAGTCTTAGCTTTCCAATTTAAAATATGTGGCTTCCATTTTGTAGAGTTTAAAGCATTTGGTAATGCTTTGGCAAGTTTTAAAATATAGGTAGATATGAATTGAACTTTCCTTTGACTGGTTTATGAAAAATAAAACCATCTACTTTTTACTTATTACTTTTCTGTATTTAGGACACAATATTCTATGAACTCATTCACTGAATTTACTGTTCTCTGCACTAACAAAAATATATTAATAATGAATGAGTTTCACAGCTAGCTCCTCTTACTTGGAGAACTGAGCTGCTTCCCAGAGTGGCTGATATGCATAAGAAGTTCATGCTTTAGCACTAACAGGTCTGGGTTTGAACCCCACCCATCCAGGCAGAGCTGAAAGAAAAATTCACGAGCCCCAAATGGTTAACAACCAGCTACGTAACAACGATTAACCCCCATCTAGCACGAAGTATGTACTGACTGCTTCCAAGCAGTCAGATTAAGTTGCATGTATTTTAATTCCTCCTCATAGTTTTATTATCATTTTTCTACTCTTTTTTTACTGCAAGTTCTTCAGAATACCACAGTGCATTCTTCAGTGCCAGCACCTCTTAAGTTATGAAGATGTACATTACAAACTGCTGATTAATGGGGTCGACCAGCCTGTGTATTCGAAGCAGACTTATCCGCCACAGCCTCGAGGCCCGCAAGAATCAGTTTTACCCTGTTTTTGGGGGAGTGATTGTGTGTGCAGACTGTAGTTGAGATGCTACAGCAATAGTTACAGTGAGGCTTTCTAACTCTCCTTCCTCTTCTTTTAGGCTTCCCTGCAAAGAAGTGGAGTTAGGGTTGTGCTGGTGAGAAATTAGATAGCTTTTGTCCTAATATTAGTAGTTTCATTACACGGTGGTTACACTTAATTACATGTGTGTGGCAGAAATGGTTTACATTTTCATTGCCTCATTTCTTCAATTCTTAGTCCCTTCCCAACCATCATTTACTTGGATAATTTGGTTATTTATAAACAGAGTGAGAGGGGTGGGGTTTTCCGTTATGCTTTGGTTTCTGTTATTCTCCGAATCCCCAGAATATCACTTGGCAGGAGTAGATACATTATATTCCTCGAGAAGTCTACCAAGGGAAGTTTGGCATGGGAAGTCCTCTGTGGCTTGAGGTATCCCATAAGGCTGTCCATTCATAGGCTAGAAAGCATTGAACATTTACTGCTTGATGTGGATCCAATTCGAGTAACTTGGTAGGGTTGCTTGTATGTAAACTGGCAAAGGATCTGATTCCAGAGGTATGCCTACCCGTTGGCAGCTTCTTGAACTTTAACGGGAAATTTCTTTTTTGAAAAATATTTTCCCTGCATTTCTAACATGACCTAAAGAGACAAAAAGACAGTGCAGCAAAGTTGCAGAAGTGAAATATGGCCTTTATGTGAAAATTCCTTAATTATTAGAGACTCTTTTCTTAAATATCTTTTCCAGGTAGTTCTTCCCAACATAAACAAGACTTCCATGCAAGCGGTTTTAGATTACTTGTATACCAAGCAGCTGTCCTCCAGTCAGGAACTGGACACACTTGAGTTAATCGCATTGGCAAATAGGTTTTGCCTTCCCCACCTGGTTGCACTAGCAGGTAAGAATTTGTGGCCTTGTCCAATGCAGTGTCTTCTGCAGTAGCTGAAACAATGTTTTAATGATTTTGGAACACACAGGATTTTTCTCAAGTGTCAAGGAAATTAATTTTTTTTTCCTGAGAGGGATATTGTAATATGAATTGATATTTTCACTTAGAAAAATGTATTTGCCTTTCTCCTGCCTTTTTCAGTTTTGTGCTAAACCAGCTCAGAACATTGAAGTATTCTGTGCTTTAAAAACAGAAAGAGTAAACGTTCTCTTTAGCATTGAAATAATGTCTGTGGTTTGTAATATCCATGCTGTTGTTGTTAGTTTACCTGAAAGTAGGCTGGGTCCCAGGCTTTCCATTACATTATGAAGTGCTCCATTATGCATTTTATTTCAAAGAAAACAACTGAGCTGATCCGAAACTGATCTAGATGATCATGCTTTTTAGAAATGCTGTCTGGATTCCTTTTCACTGCCTAGATGGGAATTGGATATTTTGGTATATACATGAGATGCAACCCTCATTTCAGGAAGAAAAACGTTCTATTGTATATTTAAAGAAAAATTATGGTATAGGATACTACTTAGTTTTAAAATTAAATCCATGCACACACCACATCTCTGGGGTGGGTTTTTTTTTGTTTATTTGTTTCTCTCTGTTGTATGTAACTTGGCATTGTTCTGGAGACATGACCAAGGCCAAAACTCAGAAACAGATGAAGCAAAGCTACACATATTTACAGGATAACATTAGGCAAAATTTAATCATGTACCAAATCCTAGGTCTCCTTCAGTTGTGTGTCAGGACTGTGTACCTTGTCTTCACTGGTTCTGACAGACCAAATCATTATTGCCTGATTTTATACTCAGATTTTAACTGAAGTCTTGGATATTTTTTTAAATAGTTGCAGCATAAACATATGTATAGTTTTAAGACTATTTCATTCCATTTAATTCTTGATGAAATAATTTTGAGTCCAAAGGCTACTGCCAGCAACTGAACCCAGTAGGATCAAATCAGCTGACAATATTTCCGAAAACCACTCAAACCTCGAAGATTCTAGGAAATGGTTCTAGGAAAGGGTTAAGGAGATGCTTGAACAGAAGTGACCTATGGAGGAGCTGGTCAGCCTTCATCTGGATCCCTAGGAGTGACTAATCTGAGAGCCTGAAGAGGGCCTTAAGTGAATTTTTCTTTATCAGTGCTGTGGATATACTTATTAATAAATCCACAATGCAATGGCAAGTGCACTGTTGCCTAAACACTTGTCTGTTGCTTTTGTATTACCCAAAAGAGACAGCTGATACATATTTCTAATTTATATTGCACCCATCCATTCTGCCTGAAAGAGACTAGTGGCTGCTGAACTTTGTCCTTCTGTAAGTGATTATTAATTGCAGGCTTGCTTTCTGTAAGAAAGAGATAAGAATTGTGTGTGAAACCAGAAATAAATAGTTTGGCTTGAGGCAAAGGGGCACATCCTCACGTGAACTGTGCTCCACTGGAGCAAGACAGTTTATACCTGTGATGCAGAATCTCCAGCCACAACTCTAAAGGCCAGAGTTTGACTTTGCCCAAATCTGAAGTTGCTCAGGATAGCTGAGTGGATGTGCCACTTGCATAATGCTGAAGTTAACACTAGGAGGAGGAAGAACAGGCCTTCTTGGTTCTTTGTTGCTTGTGGATGATCTGACCTTGAAATGTGACTGTTTCCCATGAGAGTGATGAGTTTTCTTCTCTAACAGAACAGCATGCAGTACAAGAGCTGACAAAAGCCTCCATGAGCGGCATTGCAATAGATGGAGAAGTACTATCCTATTTGGAATTGGCACAGGTTAGTGTGCACTGTTTTTTAAAAGTATTCTGGCCAACTGCGGGAATTTTTTTTAGCACCTTACTGGTTTTGAGCATTGCTTGTAAGTGGCACAAAGTCTGCAGTTCTGAGAGTGAGTGATGATAAAACTTAGGTTTGTCTTCTATTTTAAAGAAGATTTTACTGTTAGTTTGAAGGTGAAACATCTATTTAAGTAATCTTGGAGGAGTAATCTTTCAAATTTACATTTTAGTTTTTCTTGATTGTGGAGCTTCCAAACTCCATGTTCTCATGGTCATGCATCGGTAACATGAAATGCAATGTCATGAAGCTGTTCATACTTGCAATGGTGAATTATTCCTGGGTTCCTTTCAATTCAGTTCTTGTAGATATATTTAGACCTGTGTTGCAAGGGCAACATTTTTTTGTATATTTAGACTTGACTCTTGGACTGGCTACTCAGCCAATCATCTGATAGTTCAGAGTGAGTGCAAATCATACTGCTTGGTGTTCAAACACGTTTCAATGTTTGTTGAGTCCCGGAAACCACGAAAAGAGAGAACCCCCATCTCACAGTTAAACTGTACATCTGTGTTTTCCAAAAGAAGTGCTACAGCAGTCTCCCAGATACAGTAGTACAAGCTAAAATATTTTAAAATTTTATTATTCTAGATTTCACACTAGTGATGAGTCTGGCTGCAGCTGGGCATGAACTCTGGAGTTTAAGTAGCACTGATATACAGCACAACCTGTCCATCACACAAGACTTCTTGCAGCTGCTTTCAAGTGCCTCTCTTGCAATACATATAATGTTGTTGCAAAATCAGGACTGAACCCTTTCCAAGAAAAGCCATCTTGCTTCACTTAATTTCGATTTTGTGAAGGGTGGTTTTTTGGTTTTTTTGTTTTTTTTTCTCCTGGTTAAAGACAGAAGTAATATGTTTAACTACTGTTAGGATATCCTCTATGCCCAGTATTTACAGCAATATGTTGTGTTTATAACCTGAGAAGATCATAGCAGACAGTCAAAAAGCCAAAAGAGATACACGTGCTGTGCAATCTGACTTGCATTATAGCTGTGCTTCCTTACAACCAGAGGAAGCTTGATCAAGACTTTTGTATTGAGCTTTCAGTAATACTTGATTCCTGTCAACGAGCATAGTTTTCCAGGGAGTTACTTCAGAGCAGGGTTTGCAGTAACTGATAGGGATGTATGACTGATACAATCATACCAGAAAATTCAGGTCCAGCATGGCTTGGGTTCGGATCCCATGTGGGACTGAATGCAGTTTGCCAGATGCTGTGCAGGCTAAGTCCTATTCATGAGCCTTTTGGGCCACTGGTTGTTCGAGGAGAATTGAGCAACAAGGTGTACGGCATCTGGAAGCCACTTCAGCCTCAAAAGCTCCCCTGTGTGCTTGGGAGAGTGCTGCCAGACACAATCTACTGGGGACCATTCGAGCTTTAGTTGTTAATTGGGGCTGCAAAATGAATGATAACCTCAGGAAATGGAATAAGCTCTTTGTTTTTCTTTACAGTTTCACAATGCTAACCAGCTGGCAGCTTGGTGCTTGCACTACATCTGCACCAATTACAACAGTGTTTGCTCCAAATTCCGCAAGGAAATCAAAGCTAAATCTTCAGGTATGGGCAACTTTCCTCCGCAGTTTTCATGAGGTTTCCCCTTCTTTCTCCCCACCCAGCTGATGAGACATGAAGCTTAGATAGCTAAGCTGTGAGTCTGAACCTCTGTGCTACCTTGAGTAGCATTCATAAATTCTTATCTGTAAAGATCATAGTCATTAGCCTGATTTCTGGGCAAGCGTTATGTTCTATACCTATTTCAGTGGTGCTAAAAGGAACAGAGCTATTTTCAGGCTCCACAATGAAAAATACACTCTGTAAAGGGTGTATTGTTTTTTTACGCTCTTTGGTGGATTAAGGCTTCGTGAGTGCAATTGCTTTCAAAGTCTCTTCACCCTGTAACTAAGGCGTATGAGGAAACTAGAGGAATCCCTGATAAGCCAGCCAACATAGAGGCTGGATAAATGGTTAGCGGCATAGTTTTTGCAGACATTTCTGGGATTTGTGTATCTTATTGGCTTGTTTGGGGGCTTTTTGATTGTTTCTTTTTAATCAGATAATCAAGAATATTTTGAGAGGCATCGCTGGCCACCTGTGTGGTATTTAAAGGAAGAAGATCACTACCAGCGAGTTAAAAAAGAAAGAGAAAAGGAAGACGTTGCACTGAATAAACATCATTCAAAGCGGAAGTGGTGCTTCTGGAATTCCTCTGCTGTAGTTGCCTGAACAAAGCGTATAAGTGGAAATCTATAGCCAGTGTCAGAAGTTAGTCTTATTGTTAGAAATAAGATGTAGTTCAGGTTTTCAGGAAACTTTGTTCCACGTGTGCATTTATTATTGCTAGGGTCAAAAGCACAAGCTCACTGAAAGTGAGCCTGGAACAGCTCCTTGAAGTCATATGTATATTTTTGGCTAGTAAACAGATAATGTCAAGCATTATTACATTTCTTTTTATACAAAAAAAATCCAGCGTTAATATTTCAATCTCCAATTGGGAAATATTTTTATACTCTCTGGTGTATTTTGTTCAGATAAAATTCTGGATACTGTTTTATTTTACAGACCACAAAATAACCATGTAGCAGCTTTGTAATTAGATTTTAACTATTTTTACTATGCGAGTACAGTGAAATAGACAATCTTCAGTCATAAGAGACCACTTTTAGAGTATCTCGTAAAAAGTCATCTTAGGAAAAGATCTCGTTGTCTAGTATAAGTTGTCTTTTTTAAACTAAGTACCGTGCACTGGTAATATAATTAGATGGTTATTTCCTATTTTAAAGTAAAGGGTTAGAATAAGATCCAATAACTGCAAGATATAGAGTGCTTGATCTTTGCTTAGCTGAATAATAGGCAGAATAATTACCTGTTCAACTGCAGGCAAATGTATTTCTAATATTTGCCATGTAAGTGCAAATAATTATGACTATGTGGGCCATGTGAAATCTAGTGATTCTAAGTATTCAGAGGTTTTATATGTCAAGATCAAAGAGAATATTTCTAAAATCATTTAGAAGGGCTTATTAATTTATATCCTTATACAAGTATGGATCTGAATACAAGAACCAGTTACACTGCTTGCATTTGAATTACTGCATGGCAGTTACCTTGTTCTGTGGGATCTTAACCATGCAGCCATTCCTCATGCCGAATTCCTTTTTGCTTCAGTGCAAGCAGATGAAAGGGCTGCAAAAACAAGTAGGAGTTATCTAGTGTTACAGCGTCTTGTAAATGAAGAAGGGTCTTTACACACAAAATCACTTCAGTTTCATCCCAATTGTTTTATAGCTTTTCCCAGGTAGAACTCGAAATGTTAGATTATTTTTAGGTAGATCATATATTTCCCCTGGAGGTAGGGATTCCCACAAAGCTGGGGACAAAATGAGGGCAGACAGGCAGGAATTCTGCACGAGTGGTGCAAGGGGAAAAAAAACCAAACCTCCAGCCTTTTCAAATAGCCTGTGCGTTTATGACTTTTTATCAGCCATTACTCTAAAGCTGCAGTGTTACACTAGATTACATACAGATGAGAGTGTTTTTTAAAAGACCAAAACTAAAATACATAGACTGTAGAACGTACACATGAAATCCTGTACAGTGTCTCAGGCACAATTCTGTAACCAAGGTAGTATTGTGTTAGGTTCATTAATATTGTTTTGTGCTGGCAGCTCAGCATACCAATGTGAAAAGCTGTTTGTGTTTTTTTCTGTGTTTAAAGGCAAGGCAGTACAGTCAAACCCCAGTACTGTAGGTCAGGAAAGGCTTTGGACTGAAAGCCATATACACCTCTATGTATTTGCATTCTGAATGGACTAATTCTTGGCAGATGCTACCACAGGATGGTAGAAGCCAACCGGCATGGAAAAAGATGCTGCTCTACAAACTTTTATAAGGAAAGCAAGTGACAGATTCCTACCCCTGAAAGATTCATCACTGTATGGTGATAAAGAAGGGCTATAAATGATGGTTGCAGATATGTCTCCTAAGTTCTCGGTTAGTGGTAATGTATGTTGTGGAGGAGAAGAATGAATAAGACATGTCAAGATTAAGATGAGATAAATACCTGTTGTCATAAAATGTTAACCAGTCACATTTTAAGTAAGTATTGCTACTAGGTTTTACACAACCAAAGCTACTGTATGATTGTAATCTTGCCAAACTGTAATGGATATATAAATGACCCTGAGGTATATGCAATAATATCCAGTTGTGCTAGTTATCAGCTACTGTAACCAAGTGGCTGGTTCATTTGGTTAATGCTGTCTATGGCCTTTAATCTTGGTGGTTATTTTGTGTTTTTTATTTTGAAAAAAGTCAATAAAACTGTTTAGTTACAAATTGTCTCCCAGCTCTTTGAAGAAGCTTCCTAAATTTTTTGTTAGGTGTCGACCTTTTTAGTGCTGCTTGTAAGCATTCAGTCGTGGTATCATTGATTGGATTTTACTGAACTGATACTTGCATGGCTTTATGCCATTGGGGTTTATGGTTGGGAATGTCACAAGGAAATCCTACAGTGTTTGTATATGATGGTGGAAGGTTTGTGCTTGTTACTTACTGTTAAACTGCATAACAAAAAAATCTCTTGCCACTTTTCCCAGGGCTTCTGATACTTAATTATGATGATATTACCCAAGGGACATGAAACTAATTAGTCATGACAGACATGGAGAGGAAAAATGCAGGTAAACAGCAGGAAGTCCGTAGTGTTTTACTATGCTATGAACTTTGTACAGACACGGTTTTCCCTGCTTTCTCACTGCCTTAGTTGTCAACCATTATGCAGAATCTCTCAGTACCTGTTAGTGGACTCTCAGCAACTACTTCCCTTGAATATAGGATGTTTAATTGATAGAGATAGAAAGCTGGTGCTTTTCTAGAGGATTTTTGCAAGATGTCATGCTAAGAATGCCATGTTTGTGATTTTTTTTAAAAACTCTTAAGCAATGCCAAGGACATTGAAAGTAAGCACATTCAGCACACAGTGTACATTTTTTTAACATGCTGATTTATGAGAATTTTACATATCTCAGTGATTTATTTTTGGAAGCAATATTTTATTTCTTTGATCTTACCATTTGAAAACTTAATGGGCTCAACAGATGTAAAAATGTTTCTCTTGATTGATTATGATAAAACCAGTAGCATGGAAGGAAGGAGTTTTCAGAAGCATTGTTCTTCAGGGCATTCTTTTTTTTAATATTATGACCATTTAGAATAAGTTCTATGTCCTTTGTTTCTGGGGAGTCTCATTCAGCTTGTTTCTTAGAAGGAGTGTTTTTCTATTTGTTCTTTAATATAGAATTTCTACAAGCAAGTTCCTCTGCATCACAACACCAACCAGTTTCTGTGGCTTCCCATGCACAAGTAACACACCAAAGCCAGAAACAGAAGTGTTTTGTAAGATGGGATTGGCCAAACTTCAGCCACAACTCACTGATCTCATTCACTGAAGACCTACTCATCACTGTCTTTTAGTCAGATCAGGCCTCAAAGTGTGCAAAGGTAATAAACTAGATAGCACTAAACAGTGGGTACATTAAGAAGGGTTATCTAGTAGAAGAGACTAATCTGGACATCCCTTCTGAGAACTGAAAGCACGATTGTACCAGAGCAAGTAAGGCAAGAGCAGCACAGTGCTTTATTGCCCTAATTCTTTGGCAACTTACGCACAGATATCCCTCAAGAATAACTGATGCCTAGAAGTGGTTGATTTGTAAAATCATGGATTTTTTTCCATGTTTCAGTAACAAGAACTAGGAGACCAGCTGAAGGCACCTGGGAAATCCTGCTCTGAGGGCCAGGTCTTCCATCTTCTGTACAAAGAGATTTAGGTAAAAATCTAACGAACTAAATGGGATTACTTTTGGTACCTAAACTCCAGGATAGTGAAATATTTCAGTTCTTCCAGACTTAAGATTACAGTCTGGTGAAGAGATTTGCTTTGTCAGATGAAACTAGAGCTTTGTCCCTATTCTGTCCCTTTTTTCCTAGATGACAGTCTTTATACTCTTGTCACTGGACAGGCCAGCATTTTTTTTACTCTGAGGTGTCTTTAAGGTGGCTGCTTGTCACTCCTGAATCCCCTTAGATTTTTGGTCTTTTAAAATGATCTAATAGTATGAGTCTACTCCTGCAGGCAAGATTCCTATTGAAATGGATATGATACCCCCCACCCCCCACCCCTTTGGGCTTTGAAGTGCCAGCTAATGAATTTACACATTATCGCTTGCCTGTGTTCCAGATCTGCTGACGGAAGTTTGTTCTGTGTACTGCGTGCAGGATAAGACAGTGTGTTAGCAGCAATAATCCCCATCCTGCGGACTCTACAGTAGGATAATTCATTGTCAGTTAATGTATGCCTTTGCCTTTAGCTAAGAGAATATAACCCATGTCATGGATTCATTTTGCACTAGCAGCCGGAGTAGTGAGACTGTTGTATATTTATATTTGCAAACTAAATCCCTCACTGCTGCTTACATAGAAATCTTGATTTGTGGTAGAAATATGAAAAGCTTTTGGATCAATGCTGCAGGAGACCAAGAAGAGAATTTGATCTTCAGAGGATGCGAGAATGATTATGCTAATGTATCCCAGCTCTAGAGAAAGTCAAACTGAGATAAAGATGTGATTCACAAAGAGTAGTTAGCATGGGACAACAGAATTGTAATGGCTGCTGTGTAATTGTTCAGCCTTATTGTGTCATTTGTAAGCAGGCCATATAGCTACAACGTCGCACTGGGCTGTTCTGCAGCAGCAGCTGTTCTCATCATGCAGGTCCTATATCCCCCCTCCACAGAGTGGTGGGACATGGGTTGCTGTAAAAACATCATATTGCTGATTCATCTCAGGTCCTTTCCTGTATAGCACTGATATCCCACAATCTATCCTTTGGCCTGCAGAAGGACCTTACCCCAACGTATGAAGGTCCTCCAGCCAGTCTCCTTTGCTGGGACAGCACATAAGTGAAAGAACAAAGCTCTGTGGCAGCCAGGTAATTGGCCTGACTAGAGATTTAAAGATGAAAAATATAAAATAAACAACTTTCAAAAAACACTCAGAAAGTCAGAGACCGAGTCACAGAACACACAGGGACCAGCTGCGTGACAGCCTGGACAGCATTATTTCAGGTACCATTTAAAGATGCCAAATTGGGGAGGGGTAGACTCCCTATAGATAACAGCTCTCGTTTTCAGCTTTAAAGAAAAGCAGCCTTGACCATTAGATAAAATTAGCGAGCTGGGTGCCATCCCTCCGTATTGCACAGGTCTGAGCAGCCACACGGGAGGACTGTCTCTTCCCCCTACCCGATTCTGGCTGCTCTGAAGTTTTAGATAAGCAGCTAGGTGATGACACTTCACAGGGAGGATTTGCTTAAGAAATATTCTTGTCTTTAACATTTTTAAAAAAGGATTCTTTATTTCCCGTGTGGATTAATTTTTTTTAAAGTTATGACTGTGTAATAAGCATTACGTGGCATTCCAGGTATTAGTCCTGAGTAGTCAAATTATCCTTGCAGGTTAAAAAAAATCCCTACAGGTAGCAGCAGTTTGAGTATATGATTAAATTTGCATCTTAGTCATTAAATATGAGCCAGTCATTCTCACTGGATGATGAGATGTGATTGCCCCTGTCTCCTAGCTATTATAAATATTAGTTGTGCACTACATATTACAAAGAAATTTCTTTAGATTTCTCTCCTGTGTCCTCAATTAGATTTACAGCCTGCTTGCAAAGTTTTGTGGAACCCTGTGCTGATTATATCACACCTACGTTTTCAATTGTAGAGTGTCTGGGGTTAGTTTTTAAATAATTAACAGACCTCATCATGTGATGAAAGTCTGCTAGATGATAAAGCCTTTTCCCAAAAGGATATAAAGAAAGGGGTGTTTCTAAGGAGCTCCCAGAGACTCTCCAGGGCCAAGGAAACTCTGTGGCTCACCCCTGTTCCTGCACAGCAGCGTCCGCAGGAAGAGCCGCATTGGCTTGCCAGGGATGTGATCGAGTGTCGCTAGTCCTGCGGTCTGTACGACATCCGACAGCTCTCTGTAAAACAACCTCCATCAAGTGTAAGTACTCACACACTTACTACTCATCTTCGGAGACTAAGATTTGTCTCTACTTCATAGCTGTCTGAGAGGTGCACGGAGCTTTTCCTGCCTTCCTCAGGCTGGTCTGCTGGGGCAGGTCCTGCCCAGCTTCGTTCGCCCTTCATTTTGGCTGGCCAAGGGCAATAAAGTTTGAGCACACTGAAGTGATTTCTGGCCTGTAGGACAGAGTGCATCTCTGGCAGGTGCTGCAGTCAGTGGAGGACTGCAGTTCCCACAGCTGCACAGCCTTCCCTTTCTCAGGTTTCCAAGGCTAGAAA